CGCAACAATGCTTCCTCTTTGGATGGCTGGAAACACTGATGGTAGCAATAAAGCTGTAGATTTGGCAGATTTTTTCTTGGCAATCCACGGCTCTCATGTGCTGCGACGTGCTGATAAGCACACTCATGACTGCTGTCATCAAGCGCTCTCTGTCACTCCCTCCGATGTTATCCTTGCGGACATTTGGGCATCCATCATACATCCAAGTACTTAGTCTTTGGTCGATCGCTCAGGCGGAATTCATGTCAACGTGCAACTTGATCATTCAGCAATAACGAATCTTCCCCTCATTCATTTCCAACTAGATGTGGCCACTCATTCACCTCCACTTTGCCGGTTGATCACCTCGAAATGTTCCGCGGGTGAGTATTTCCTGTCAATCAGTCATCAAATATTTGGAGTACCTCAACGACATTCTCGTTGGTAGAGGTAACGACCCACCAACTACTTTTAACTTCATAAATTCCAAACATTGTTAATAAATACACTGTGGTGCCATTCAACAGCTTATTTTTAAGATGTAGCCAAAGTACATAAATATTGGGAGTAACTTGCAGCAGCTCCACGAAGGTAAATTAAGTGGAATATTGACGGAGCGAAGTTGACGTCACGAACCAATCACACTTCTCCTGGTCAAGGCGACCACCGCACACTTCCTTGTGATTGGTTCCTAATCTCCATTTGCACCTTCACGCACACTGCTGATTTCTGCCAGTAAAAATGACTCAGCTTAATTACTAAACAGCACAATTATGGAGCTAGTTACGGCAGTGTGGACGCCTGTGTGGTATTTTGGGGACTGTTTTGACATCAGCTTAAAGGCGAGCTTCCTGTCTTACTAGCAGTACGGAAGGAATTTCCGTCACCACATATTTGTGCAATGTTTAAGCACTATAAACTTCAACTATGGATGATGAGTTAAATGTGGTTTGATACCTCGCAGTGACATGGCAAATCGTAAAGCAATGGAACTCTTTTTCTTGTAGAGTTGCATGCACCTTGTAGGCCAGTACTGCAATGACTTTGCAACCTATTGTCAGAACTCGAAGACGAGGAACTGTGCTTTGCTACACTCAAGATAGAAGGTAGTCATCTTTAAGTCGGTTAATCCAAAGGAACTAGGAATGGCACGAAAAAGCTGCTCTTTGTTGCATTGAAATAAAGTTTTCCTTCCTGCCGTTTTTGAATTATTCATAGTGCCATTATGACTGCTTCATCGGGTCGCAAAACTGTTCAGGCCCTTTTGTCTCAGTTTTGTACAATAAACGTGCCTTCTGTAGGTGCTTACTCCTTCAACTGTGGTTCCCTCCGTTTCAATTGGTCTGGATACCCCACAGTCGCTGCGGTCCATATCACGCGCTTGACGGACATCGCGATTTCCACACCACTCCGCTAAGTGAAGGAGCAAGGCAGTCCACTGTTTGCAAGAGCTCTTCGGGCATCTGTATCCCCAATGTTCCTCACAGAAGTCCGACTTAAGTAGCCAATACCTAGTGCGACACTTCCGAACGTTTGGTCCTTTCCGCAAACATTCCTACTTTCCATTGTGCCCAACAATACTTTTCTGCGTTCAGCGAAGATTTGCCTCTTCTACTCTAAAGCTGATTCAAGCAGTAGGAAGACGCTTAAAATAAAACACCCCATTTCAACAAAAACCAGAAAGTCCATCTTCCGACACTACTTTGAAACTACTAGTAATAAAATCCGAGACAGTGAAGAGGGATTTTCTGGGGTGTTAGGTGCTGTATCGGCAGAAAAGCTAATTGGAATGAAACACGCTTCTCAATTGCAAATTTCCGTGTTCATTGCAGCCAAAAGTGGATAACCAAAAGAAGTGACGTTCCTCAACGAGGGGAATGACATGTTCCCCTTGCTTGCCTGCTTGCGATTGTGAGTCGCACGAACAGTGTTGCTCTACACCGGATCAGCTACTCCAAATACAACATGAAATCGCAGGCGATCCATGCATACTTTACTCAGGTTGGTTGTGCAAAAAAGCCTCAAAGACACGCTGCTGCTCACATGACTTCAGGCTCGAACAAGTACGATAGTGACTCGTCTGTTCTCTGCGGTCTGCAAAATGATGGTCGGTAATAATCATCGGGGCTCGCTGCTGATAAGCTTATAAGTAGACTGGATTTCGTGAGAGGAATGCCACCACCACGAGGAAGCGTACGCTTAAAACAGTCATATTTCTCCTACTTTCACGAAACAATCCACCAAAAGGGAAAGGAGTCGTTCAGGTCTGCCCTCGTCGCTTAGCCTGCAGCAGGGCCAGGTGGCGAAAAACAAATGCGTCAGTGGGATCAGCGGGATTGGCAAGTGCTGCGACCTCACGGAGACACCGTTCTCCCACCTCCAGGTCACCCGTACCCTCCACCACAGCGACACAGTGGTTGTGACGAGCCTGTACACTGTCCGGTGATAGGGTAATTGCCTTTTCGAAGACCTGAAAGAACAAAAAACCAGCACGCACACGTTGAGGCACTTCGCCACTGACAGGCGTGAGTGGAAACCACTCCACCAACCTCGATTGCCGCGGTAGCGTTCTTGAGCACGGAGAGCTCGATGTCACCGAGAAGCATGTAGGACTTGAAGTGGTGTGGATGATACTGAAATAACAAAAAGCTGTGTTTCAAAATGGTGAGGCTTTCGCAGAAATGAAGAAATTCTTCTTGGCAGACACGGCAGTTTGCTATGCAATGAAATGGCACATTCTTAACACCTTAAGCAGAGTAACACCACTTGACACCTTCGGTGCCACTGTTCTTCATCAGTTTGAGACAGCGGTGGTTGCGCTGAACGGGGAAACACACAAAGTGGATGAATTTAAGGCCATGAAATATACATTTTTAGAGCACGGTGATCAAATTTTCCTCTTAGAGTGACATAGCATTAAGTAGAGTCCACCTCTCGTGGGTTGCACACGGCAGCAAAAAACAAATTTGAGGTGGATTCTATGGTGGTTGGAATCAATTTAACAATTCGAGAATGCTACAGCTTAAGCGGTGAGAAAAGAAAATCTAAAATGGTTTTTATTTAGAACAACAAAGTTCCTCCTAAATGGTGTTATTTACAACCGCATGATTCCTCAAACCTACGACCATACATCTTGTCAGATGTGAAGTAGCGCCCAGTTCCATGCAGAAAACGATTCGGAGTTCTACCCATCAATTAGGTAGAAGAGAGAGGATACTTTCCCAGTTCAGGCTAACACATAAAAGGCAAAATTTATTGTGTCAGGCAACCGATTCTTGGGTAGATCTGACACGTTGATTGATGTAAGACAGGGCTATTCAACCAGGTAATCAGCTATCATCACCGATCCAATGGGAGGGCAGGCGAAAGGCCTCCACCGATGCAACCGGATCAAAAGGATGTGGCACAAGTAATGAAACGCACCTCAATCAACCGGTACAACAGCGGCACAGCAGCCATCGAATCGTTTAACTCGTTGTGATACATCAGCGCCAAGTTGAAGAGGGAACTCCTGTGCGATGGATCCACCTTGCCAAACAACAACAGAGAGGACACGAGAAAATGATATATACAACTCATGTACAAGAAAAGTGAGCAAACCTAAGCTAAAGCAAAGGTGGAATGGATTTTGAAGTAGGCCAGAGGAACGTCGATGGCTGAACGGATATTTGACGAAGAGTGAGGCGCTATGAATGGCAATAAAGGCTATTCAAAATGGATGTATTCCTGAGAAGTGAAATTGACATAGAGGAGAGGGTTGGGGGTAAAGAAGGGGGAATTCTACCTCCAAAACAGCTCGGTAGTGGTGGGCGGCTTTGGCGAATTCACCAGCATCGGTGTACAGAATGGCCAGTGCAAAATTGACACGAATTGGTTCGTAGTTGCGCCCCGCCAGGTCTTCGAAACTGGGAAAAGGTCATTTACAATTACAAAGTGGGGTGAATCTGTATGTGCGCATTTACAGCAAGGGTACTTCGTAAGTTCTCAGCACTACTGGCAAGTGCTTTGGCAGTGAACTTGAGAGATGACAGTGGAAACTCTGCGGTATTCAAGGTATATCATAAACATGCCAAACACACACACACGCACACACTTTTTTTAGAAGCCACGAAACTCTACTTTTGCATCCGAACATTGCCGACATGAAACCAAACGGTGGTCTAGTTTTGAAATACCTCGGATAAGCAGGAAGCCAACGCTTCTTCAAAGGAATGTGAAGCCTTTGCATTGAAATAGTGAGTAATCGGAAGGAGAACAAACAAGAGTCAATCACGCCAATAAACATGCCCAAATAGGTAGCTATACTTCTCACATTCTACACAAACGTGGATTCCTTGTCACCATTTGACATATTTTGTGACAGATTTAACATTGAAGGTTACCACGGCAATTCAAATGTAAAAGACGGTCGCAGCCAATATTTCGAAAGCGACTACATTCACAGTGTCAGGAGCGATTTGCTGAAGTCGCAAGAAAAAAGGAGGACTTAGTATTGCAGCTGAATCGTGGTGGTGAGAATCTCAGGAACAACGAAATCCTCTTCAGCCCAGCTAAATGCACCAAGTGTGGACATGCATTACCGAATTCAGGTGGCAGGAACTTACAAAGCCATTGCCTTTTTGTGCAACACGGGATCGGCGGTTTCGGAGTAGGCAGAAGCGAGAGCGAACAACGTTTGCTAAACAAAGATTGTGGTGTTTCAATGGATATATATTAAGTCAAGTGAAAACCTAAGCAAATCGAACACCGTGCCTACTTAAGCGCTAATTCAGTAGCAAGTGCAATTCAGCCTAAACTAGCCAATCGCCATGGTTAGCAAGTTAGAAAGGTACGAGTCATGCAAGATCCTATGACAATGCTTGCATTGAAGACACGATATGTTTTGCAAGGTGGCAATATTTGGTTAAAACAGACTAGTTAATAAGGTTAGAATGAACTACTGAAAATGCGGATAACGTTAAATTAAAAGAACATTTGCAAAGTAGTAGGAGTGGCTAATTGGGGATTTTGGACATGAGAGCAACCACTAACCGCTAACACAGCACAAGGAAGCACAGAAGTTTGATTGAATTACTCTTTTACACGAAAAGTGCCATCAAATTCAGTGATAGCAACAGACCTCATGATGGGGGTCAAATTGAAGAGCTTGGTTGAAACTGGCGTAGGCCTCGTCACTTCGATTTGTTTCCAAAAGGACGACACCAAGCTAAAATATAGATGAAACATTCCAGCTGGAAAGAGGCGGTGTAAAGCACCCGCATTTCCAAGTACAACGCGAAGACACTCCTCGAGGAAGCAATTTGAAGGCTTTGGGGAGATGTTTTAATGAAGGAAACCACGTCTGCTTCAGATATAGAAAAACTAGCAAAGCAAAACACCTGCCGTTTTGTAAGGATACACAAATGCTTTAAAGAGCAATGCTTTTAGGGAATGCTGCCTTTTATAAGAAGCCTACATTATGTGTACAGTAAACGGAGCCTGCTCCAATGAGGAAAGGTCATCTCATCGCATCACATTTAAGCTTACGTTGTAGTGCAAAGCCGGACTGGTATACTTGTACCTCAACGCCTTCCTGTACATGTCTTCGGCCTCCACAAATCTAAACAAGCCAAAAACAACGCAATGTTGCTTAAAACTCTGAAGGAGGAGAGATATTCAGTAACAATTGTCCACATTACGCACCTCCGCTGCCGCACAAGAATGCTGCCACGATTCTGGTAGGCGTCCACATTGTCCTCGCGCAGTGAGATGGCCCTCCTCAGAAGGACATCAGCCTCGTCCAGTCGGCTGTCATTTTTGGACAGCAGATTGGCCAAGTTGGTAAAGATGGTTAGATCCTTTGGAGAGACGCGTGTGTGGTACACCTTTCCTAGGTACGCAGGAAAAGATGGCAAGACACAATGGACAACAATTTGGCGATTTTAGCAAACTATCACAAACGGAAAATAAAATACCAGCAGATGTGTACTTAAAGATAAATTTCAGCTCCGAGAGGCGAAATCTGAAACCGCAACAATTACAACAGCAACAGAAATTGTGCCTCATAACGACTTGATAGAGAAGACGTGGTTCAAGTTAACACTACTAGTTGGAATATTGCGGTAATAATGGATTGCAATGAAAGTCCTTCCCAAGAAGCTATCGCTTCAGGCATTCTCAGAGGTAAAACCAATTTCCCAAACAAGGCAAAACAACAATACCAACGAAGACTTACAGTCGGTCACAGAGCTTCAATGGAAAAATGAAAAGAGACTGAGTACCCGAGTATGAGAAGAGTTGCGTGTCGATGAAATAGACGCAAGTAGACTCAAATGTACGCCTGTAAGTCTAAACGACTTCACGAGAAACAAAGTGCCATCGGCTTAAGAAACGCATAGTGAATTCAACAGTCAAGTCGTGGAAGGAGACGAGGGATCCACCACATCAAAATTAGTTGGTGTGGATTCGGCGATGACAGTTTAATAACTGCGTATCCGCCAGCAAATTCTGCAGCTTTGAAATGGAGTCACGTTAGGCAGACTGAGATATATGCGTGCTTGATAATGCAGGCAAGGAATCACATACACTGTCCAAGTCTCTGCAAGGTGCAAAAGGCCATTGCAGTGCGAGATCAAAAGGAGCACAAGCTTTTGCGACTACCCGACATTGGCCGAGGCGGAAAACCGACTCCACACAACCAAAGATGGACTATTGTCAATACATCGACACATATCCAAAAGCACAACTTTTATGCAAGTAGGAGATGTCTCAGTAACTTACAGTGATATGGATTACCACTGAAACATTGTTTCCTTCGCTTTGATACACAATCCCACAGAAAATAACAACTGGTTTGAAGGAGAACTTCGGCGTAAGAGAAACGAATAATTAAAACAGCTCTGAATGACTGCACCCAGAAAACCCAGCAGAGTTTGCTACGGGATGACAAAAATGTCATACCTCGAATATCTGCTTCAATTTAGATATCGTATATTACAACCGAGTATGCATCCAAGGGGTCAGGAAACCAGTACTAGTCAAATCATTATGTGTGCCCCCTCAAATATCTATAACTAGTTCAAGACTTACCCATTAATTGAAGTTGAGTAAAGGCTAGAACGTATATGCATCCAAACTACCGTATAAATGGCACATTTAATGCGTTAAACAAACCCTTTTTAGGCTTGGGGAAGAATTCCATGGCCTGGTAATAGACACCTTCAGCTTCTTCCAGGCGTCCGAGTTGAACGAGCGTGCGACCAACGTTGATTCGAGCTCCCATATCATCTGGTTGAACTCTAGATAGGGCAGAATTACCAGACCAATCAAATTAACGAGAAGGGGAACGCTAATGCTTGATTGGTTCACGTTCAGCCAATGAAAGGGTAGTAGAGTGACTAATCACATGACGAGAAATCAAAAGCAAGCCAGCAAACAAAAAAGGAGAACCACCGTAAAGAAGAGTTGAAGCAAGGGAGTAAAGAAAGCATGAAATGGACCGAACAGCCTGTTGGAAGTAAAGCAGAGCCTCGTCGAATTGCAATCGCGCCTCAAGCGCATGGCCTACGTTGTTCCAGAGCTTGGCGTTACGCTGATTCACCTTCAGGGCTGAGGTGAACAAGGAGTACTCGTCCCTCCTAGGCGAGAAAGCATCAAATTTCATCATTCACTAAACGCCAGATTTGATGCACTGCTTGCAGTTGTTTGTCCAAACAAAGAAGTTAGAAGTCAGTGAACCTATTAATACATTGAAAAATATGTTCTACAAGCCATAAATGGAAGGCGCATGAGTGGACACGATGTGAAGGTGAGAAATCGTGCTGTTATTGGTGAGTCGAGTCAGCTATGTCTAGATAACTGGCTTTAGATGCCACTAAGGCTTCTGTCCATTCGCGTTACATCACAAATGCTTGATAATGCTGCACACACACTTTGTGAGAATTCACATGTGAAATGTGGCGAAGGCAGTGGAGTGAATGGCGCATTTGCGATGTCGTGAGATATTACACTGCAAAGGCAACCTTTAATGCAATTAAGATCAAGAATAGACCGACGTTGAAGATGACTACTTACCAATATTTGCCCTCATATTATGGCTTTCCTACAGTAAAAAATGATATCTGCTGAATCCCTTCCATGTGTAGCAAATGCAATCGACTAAGAAGGGAACTCCAGGAATTCAGTGACTAACAGCAAATCAAACATGTCAACTTATCTCACCATTCACTTACCAATCGTAGTTGCGATAGAACGTTTTCAGCGAAAATCCAGAACAGACCATAGCCAGCAGAAGGTAAGCAATAGCTCTCGAATGAAACCTAAAGTCATAACAATAGTAACTACTGCAGATAACTCGTGAATGCGGGACCAACATATATTGAAAGCACCAAGGTACACAACTTATTCCAGATCTGCAAAAGTGACAATGACGAAGACGTAATCCACAGAACTCACAGGCCAATATGTCGATGTTGACGGCATTTCTGAAGAAAATACTGAAATCCCAGCCCCATGATGAGACAGAATCCCGCACTGGGTACATACAGCACACGTTCCGCCACCACAAACCCCACATAGAAGAAGAGGTTAGATGCAGGCAGGTAAGGCAGTGCCAGCAGAGCCAGTCCCTGCAAGACAAAACTTGCGCTTACTTACATACCCTTCAGGAGTCACAATGTAGCCAACTTCATCGCCACCAAAGACATAAGGATAGACGCAAAGCGGTGTAAAAAGCGCACCATTGAAAGTGCGCGCGCTTGACGCGGTGATGTCCACGGTGAAGCAGAGCGAAGAGCCACTGCAACGAGGCCAGCAAAGGCAGCGAAAGTGGCAATGTTGCGAGGGTCCGTGACAGTTGTGATGAGGGCGATGGTGCCCATTGTCCAGTCAGCACAGAGACCAGAGGGATAGAAGAGGAGGGCGAGATTGACGTACACCAAATGCAGATGGGTCAGACGACGTGTCAGAGGCGGTGCGTGCGCTGCTGGATTGTCAAATCTAACGAGGAGAACGATAAACTGGAAAACAAATGGGTGGTTAATTTGTGGCTAGAGGAACGTTTGCCGCCAGCCTACTTTGGGTTCACGAAGTGCTTGTGCAAGTTCATGGGCTGGCTGCATGGAGCTTAAGCTCACTGTGTAGTAATTTTTGAACCTTGCCGAATTTGTTTGCAGCTCGGTAAGAGGTCTAATGGAAGACAACTTTGTTAATAAAAGCCACTACAACAGCGATGTGGAACTCTGCCCCTGCTACCACCTGTACTACTGAATTTCCGACCATTCCACCCATATACAGCAAGAAACTCACAGCCTCCTGCGCCTCCAAATGCCCTCAGAGACAACTCAAGTGCTACATTCGTGGCAGAAAACGCCGCGGAAGAAGGCTATTGAAACCTATAAAAGCGGGCTAAGTCCGAGTTTCGGATTATAGCTAGTGACGCAACGAGGCTAGAATTGAGCAAATTCAGTTAGTGTATGAAAGAAATGTTTAAAACATTCGTGCACAACAATTAGTGGTGTGCAGAATTTGCAGACCCAACATCACCCTGGTTTTGAAAATCTAAAGAACACCAGCATTGAATTGTTAACCGTGATAGCTAGGAATGACGTGGTACCCCTCATCCTCTCGCAATTCCGTCGAGCTTTCAACTCTCCACCTCTTCTGCACACCAACACCAAGGCAACCCTCAAACTCGCGTGCCTTACAACACCAAGGCCTCCACAACCACTTTACAAGGACAATGAATTGGGAGATGCCAGCCACTTAAAATTACCACTTTCCCCAATAAAACAAGCAGTGGACAAAGAGACAGAAGGCCAGTCACGTACGCAGTAAAGTGCGGTAATTGTGAGCCCATAAGTTGCACCCGAGCCAGGAGAAACAAACCAGAGGTGAGTGAGAGAATGAGAAACCTAAGTCCCAGCCGCATCCAAGCCTTCCACGCCATCCTTCCTGCCAAAATCCTTGCATAGAAAGTCTTCTACATAAACAGAAAGACTATTGAAATACACACATGTCTTACTGGTTGATTTGGAAAGGGAGTGAGACGCTGGACTTACAATGAAGTGGAAGACAAAGTCGTAGGCAAGGCAAACACCCACAACTGTGATGCACTGCTCTTTGCAAAGAGTCCCAAGAATGACGAGAAGGGAGACCGTCAACAAGTGGCACATTTCTGGTGGAAAGAAAGGCGATTCTTCACTTTCAAGAATGAAGAGGCCAACAGAGATGCCATAAATGGGGAATCTAAACAGTCCACCTACCTACTTGCCATTCCGGTCTCATAGCCCCGTCCCCTTCTAATGCCTTCCCAATACAATGACCACAAACTCTTGTTCCCTTTACTGCCAGCTGGGATTCAGTGGAGTATTGTTGATCTATCTTCCAAAGTGAAGTTATATGGAGGTCCCCATGTAACCGGATTGGATAACTTGGTGCAACTCGTAGGGACTTCCACACTTGCAAACCAAGCACCGATGCCGCTGCTTCAGCGTACTGCCACGCCACCCCTCAGTGTGCTCTGTACCACTTTCCTCTTACAGGCAACACCCATCAATTGTTGGCTAAACGAAGTGCGCATGAACTGTAGCTTGTCTCCTTTCGCAAACCTGCCTAAACTCAACTGCAAAACAGCAGCGACCACTCGAGTGAAGTCGGTTGTACAGCAGTTGACGGCGGTACGACAGTAGAATGCACCACTCAAAAGTGGTTCTAACAGCTGCATTCTAGTGACGATTCACTCACATTGGCACTTTTTAATAAAGCTTATTTAATGCATGCCATGAACTACTTCCGCTTTCACTTCACGTGAATGAGGGGAAAGTCGTGAAACCTGCCGAACAAATGCGTCTTTTCCTAGTGCTTATGTACCCACTAATAGATGACAAACTATGACTGCCAATTTGCACATTGCCGTCACTTGCACACCTGATACAAACGGCTCTTGTGCTTTCGACTGCATCCTGACGACAAATGACCATTGCGATCCCCTCCAATGCTTGATAGGCGAACGAACCTACTATTACTTGTCGCCAGGCTACCCACCCAACCACTCACTCACATGCCGGGGACGCGCACCACCCCACCGTCCCCCAGCTTGTGCTACTCTGTTGCTCCTTGAAGCAAACATTTGAATGACAATAAAATTGGAAGCACGCTCGTGTCTCGTTGGGAAAACGTTGCACACTAAAATCCACACTGTTTTATGAATACTTCTTGTAAAACCCTCTCTGATTTCTATGTTCAAAAGCTACACGAATTTTATTGCCCTGCTAATGCCACAAATAAGACCAAAATTCGATTAAGGCATCAGACAACCTCAAACAGACGGCTAAAACAAGAATAAAAAAACAACAATACGTGCTACTGTTAAACCAAATCTCAAGTAATCTGCCAGATTCCAACCCTCAAATCACAATTCTAGCCGCTTTATCAGCTAAAGTACCTTAAGCGCTCCAGGAAAAAGTGAACACGTTAAATACCTTTAGCACGATCATCTGAGGCCACTGACTCTGTTCCAGTTTATTTTAGTGCAAATTAAGTAAAGAAGACAAATTTGCGGAACAGTGCAAGTAATTGACTTCCCCACAACAAGGTAGCGGGCCCTACACCCCAGCGTAAGGGTTAGTACCACCGAGGACGATGACAGACACACAGCAAAAACATATGCTGCATCCAAAAATTAGCGCTTGCGTTAAATAACACACTACGCACTGTAGGAAGGTGTGCGGGTGCGCCGAATGAGTCTACTTATCTCCCCCTCGCGTGGATTTGTCCAAATGCATCAAGAAGTTCAACCTCGGTTGTGCTTGCATTGAGGGCTTAAAGCACTGTGGACGTCCAGTACGATACGCCCACAACCACAAGGAATGAATACGTAATAACAGGACAGATGAACGATCACAGAGCTAGGTGAAAACCGAATTTGAATGAGGTCAGGTCATGTCCTGACACATCCTGAAGTGTGTGGCGTTCAACGACTGACAAAGAACCATAAGTACAGAGGAGCAAATGCTTCATTACGATCAGTAGAAAACCATGAAAACGCCACCCAACTTCACAAAGATATTAAAAATGTGGTCACAACAAAGGACAACTTCAACCAAATAAATGGCGTGATCCACTTCATTGAAGTTTCTACTGATGTGAAACTATCAAATCCCATGTGTTGAAAAAGACCACCATCCAGTAAACTACTCACCAGAAAAGACAGTCACCTCCTCCACACCAACGAGGTTGAGGTAGGTCAGCAAAGAAGAGAATAAAAACACTGCCGAAAGTAATTCTGCCCTTCCAACCACACCCGTAACAGCTTCCACATGGACTGGATGAAGTGCAAAAAGAAGCGCAGCTGCCATACTGCCCGAATTGTCAAGGAAGCATTGCGAAAATCGATAAAAGAGGTGGACAACGAAGGTGTGCAGAAGCATGTTAACCAAATGGTATGTCCAAGCTTCAAGACCCGCCAGAGCGAAGTTCCAGCGATACGTCAAAACCGTAAGGGGGCGGTAAGACTTGTGACTCGATTCGTGAGCCATTGGAGTGCCCCAGAAATCGTTGGAGAAGAGGATCCACCAGGGCTGAATGTGAGAACGGAGATCTTGATTATCAACAACCGCAGAAGCGTCGTCAAAAACGAATCCACAGGAAAGGCTGTTACTGTAGATAAGAAGGGTGAGAAGGATGAGCATCCCATGGTGCCAGGTTTTAAAGGAATAATCAGAATTTGAGGGTGGAACAACATCTTTCTGAATCTCCTTTGAAGGCGGTCTACAAAAGTCACGGTACACAATAAAGCCATATACAACAAATGGCGCTCTTAAACTTAAATTATACGATTTCTCGCGCTAGATATTAATTTTAGGTAAGTTTAGAGAAACTCATACCGGTTGCGTTTCCGCATTAGGAAAATGGCAACAACATATGGTACGCAAAAGCATAAAGGAGCTGTGCACAGCTCTGATTGGTCATTATGAAATTTTAGAAGCCGCAATATGTAGTTAAAAAGACAAACATGCAATTTCAAGGTTAAGTTTATGTATTAGATGCTCTTCAAACGTGTGGTAGTCCACATTACACAGTGTTATTCTACCAAACATTGTGCCTAAGTGACCTTATGATACGTTAGATTCTTAGCATGTATTTAGGTATTGCACTATCTACTTTTGGTGTTGTTATTATTGTTTGGCTGCTGTTACAAACATTCCCGTGTTTGACGACTTCGGACTTCTTCATATCAAAAACATGCTTTATTTGTTTGATTATGTACAAGTCGGTTTTGCTTGCTAAAGACGAAAAATAATACAAAATATATTGAATGTATTCACATACCTTAGAATATTATAAGTGTTTTGATTCTCTACATAAATCTTATCAATACAAATTAACGTTTCATTCTTGTTTATCTTTTTGAACCTACCTTTTAGCACCACTTCAATGTCTTCTTTGAAACCACTTTTCTTAAACGACAAGTACCATAGCAGCTCTTCCCCTTACTTTCATACAAAGCGTTACCCTACTTTACGCTGCTGATTTACCCCAAATCAAGGGGTTTTAGGATGACTTTATTGCCTGCATCGTAAAGGGCTAAATATTTTTAATTTGGGCATTTTTTTACTAAGCAGCATTGATTATGCAGCGCAGATGTTCGAGATTCGGTTTAGCTGTACCCTTGATCAAACGAGTACTTCTACTCACCTCGGTTGTATTCCCGTGTACTTTTGTCTTTTCACCTTTACTGCAGCCTTCTTGCTCCAGTTTGCTTTCCTCACAGATCCTCCTTCACGCTCTTGGAGTTTACTGTTACGTTAGAGAGGACTCAGTGAGCCACAGCAGTAAGCCTGCTTGTCCCTTCATACTGAATCGGGCGGTCAGTGCGCTGTCGCCTCTTCGGCCTGAGAATACCTGTCGTTTTGTGCATTTAAATGTTTAATTTTTGCCAGCATTATAACTATGCTTGGTGTGGCCTACTCCATAAGTGCCTCTACACGATTACTTTCCATTTAGAAGTGTTGGAAGCAATTCAGATTTTTGGCACTGCAGATACCAACTTGAATGGACCAAAGCCTAAAAGAAGATTTTTGTGGCTGAAACAACGTTAATCATTTGTGAGTGGTCCCTGTTCCACGAAAACCTGATTGACCTTCCCTCGATGTGAAATGTATGATCCAGAACAGTTGAGGGAATGAAGGGGAGAGTAACGAACGATCTCTCACTTAGGACGACTTTGGTTATCTGCATAGACTGGTTGTGTATTTCAAATGACTCAGTTACCCATTTTTCGAAAGCTCTTCAATGACGGTAGGACACTAACGCCAAGTGAAGGATTTTGTGGTCCTTGTTGGCAGTGTTTTTATTAAACGAATAACTGGACTCTGTTTAAAGCTGTTTTCTTCAAGACATAGTTGAGGACATGCTGAATCTTCAGGATTGACTGCCTTTGGAGGATCGGAAGTAATTCGCTGAAGGAAAATCATGTTATTTGAACAGCACAATGGTCTTGAAATCTTTCTATAGACACATATATTCAGGCACGAATATGTTCTTCGTTCAGATTTTCTTCTTTGTAAACGAAGACTTGCAGTTGTTTTTCCGAACTACCTCAAAGTACGATTTGATGTCTTACGTCCTACAAATACCAAGTCTTAATTTTAAGCAAGGAATCAAAGTGTCTGCTTTTATTAATCCAATTTCCATTCACTTCTATCTTGCGAATTCTGGGACCATCCTACCTGTATGCAATTAGTTCTTTATTTCGACACTGTTTGGATGCTCGATATACTACTTATAACATAGCTAAGCATACTCTGTTCCCTCAATCTATAATGATTGAATTCAGTGTCAATCAAACTGGGAACTGCAACCACAATTCTGTGCTGACATCATTACTATTGTATTTCCATCCTTTACGGAACAATTTTACTTCGCTGGATTACTTTGACAAAGGTAAGTATCACTGAAAATGGAGAAATGCAAGTAGCAGACTATCAGAGGAATAGGTGAAGAAGCGGCCTGCAGAGGAGGTGCTATTGCCATTAGTATTGCCAGTGCTGCTGTCAGCTCGTCTGGTGGGTCTGCTTTGAAAGTGGCCTTAACGATAATCGCCGGTGCTGCCACGACCGTCACTGCTGCAGACGCAATGTTACGGCCACTGCACTTTTGTAAAGGGAAGGATCACTAGAACCTAGCAAACATGGTGTTTGGCAGTAAAACATTTTCTACCAACGGGCGAGTGGGAAATGGTTAGCTGAAGGGCTATGGGCACCGCCTCTAGATGCCGCTCTACTTGAGCATACCTAAGCCTTGTACAGGTGGTAGCGATGGTCAAAGGTTTGGCTAAGTACTGCTCATCAGTTCACGATGATCAGTGGATCAGTCAATGTTTTCTTCGTTTTTCTTTTCGCCTGCAAACCCATAGTGAAAAGTTGATTTTCTACTTGCTTTTCCGGACCTGCCTTTTCTTTTAAACTTTTGCAGTGTTAATGTGTTTCTGTTCGTATTTAGCTCATTTTCGCAAAGTTTTTTTATAGTGTTATTAAAAATAAACCCTGGATGCGTCAAAATGTCTAGTTTGCTTAATTCATCGTACACCTTACTCCTCTCACTCTTGGAAGCTCTCCTTTCATACAAGGAAGTTGATATATCTGTGCCCCGTTCACCGAGTGGCCTAACAATTTACCTTCTCAGCATTTTAATTTCAGGAATTATTATATTCATTAAATCCGTCGAATTCTTGTCCAGCAGACTTTATGAAGTGATTTCCTAAGCCGCATATGCTGCCTCCACATCCTCGCTTACTCTCGGCACACTTATTCACAATTCAGTTTGCAGAAATCGTCATCTAAAAGAAAATACAGCATTCACAACACTAATTTTTTCTATTGCTGCTCAAAAAAGAAAAAAAGAGAGTAATCCGTTGAAGTGGGTAGAAAACGTTAATAAGGGTAAGTTGCCTAACCTGGCTGTCACAAACCCAAACTTGCCAAATAAAACACACGGATTGCAAAGATTTAAGTTAAAAAGGCATTTTTTAGCAGCTGGTAGTATTGGTCTTCCTTTCTAAGAAGTTTTAAAGACATTCAGGAATTATAGCATTACGTGATCCCAAGTGTTTACCCTGCTACGAAGCTAGTCCCCGTTAATTAAAAGCAAAAGGAACTAGGAGTTGCAGCCATGTCTCTACAAAAAAAAGTGCAACCATATGCAACAATTAATTCTGATCTGCCTCCTGATTTTGCTCTTAATTTTATTTGAAATTTAGTCATTTCCTTCCGATATTATTGGCTATTAGCAGTGTGATTTCAAAAATTTAGACCTCTGCTTTACTTGTTATTTTGCACGTTAAATTTCCTTTTACTACGTATATTTTTGCTAATTCTTAACCTTGAAGTATCAGATGATTTGTTTTATTGAGTCATTTTAGTGGTGCTCCTCTTGTATGCCTCAAACGTTTTTGTGCGCTTTCATTTGGATTTCGCCCGTCTCTTTTTTTTTTCATTTTCTGCCATTTGCTTTTGTTTCCTGCATTCAATATTTGCTCGAATGATTTGTTAGCTGTGTATCATTTAGTGCTTCAGTGCACGATACTTTAATTTTGTCAATCCAAAATTTATTAGGACAAAACTAACTGTTGAGACTTCCTGTCTTAGTAACTGACTGTGAGCTGCCATTCTTTGGTATTCAGCTTTTTAGTATTGAAGTAGTCTTAGTGCCTTTGTTTTTAAATGTGCACCAACTTTGTTCCATGGTATTCGTTCGTAATGCTTTTTTTCATCATGTGATTCCTTAGTGCATCTTGAACATGGTCTGCGATATTTTTCTTTTAAACTGTGATATCTTTTTAAAGCATTCTGTCGACTGAATATGTTCTGGCCTAAAAACCTAGCATTTAAAATTAGCAAACTCGTACATCGTCATTTAAATTTATTACTGATGGTAGCTAAATTATTTCAAATTCGAATTAAAATGATAATATTTTTTGAATCTGATAGCTTATTTTCTTTTTGTATCAAAATAATGTAATTGCAAATGTAAACAGAACTAGCATATTCCTTCCTGATGCCATCACTAGGCAAAAAATGTCAGATGTCGTCGTTACAGAGCGGATGGAATCAGCAGAATCTTGGGGGTCAGTTCCACGTCTCCCTCATCGTCTTGCCCATCTGTGAGTTCTCTTTTGGAATGCCATCTTTCTTTTCCTCTTTCTTACCCGTACCGTTATCGCCTAGCTACGCGACATGGCTAGTCTCACATCCAGTCATAAATGGCCTCTTAACGGTGACTTTTCTCATCGCCCCCGCCGTCGTTGCAATCTGTTTCTCGGAGTTACCATCCTTTGATGATCCGGCTAAGGTTGTCCCATGCATGCTCTGTAAACTGTCTACCAGCCCCGACTTTGTATTCACGGTTCTGATTCCCCTTACACTTTGCCCCGCAGGAGTTCATCACCATAGGTACGCCGATGGCTGCTAGGTTGTATCAACTTAAAGCTCTCCAGCAAAACACACTTTCCTTACCCACCAAGGAATATGGTCACAGCAGAGTGGCAAGATCGGACAAGATGGCAGATAAGGTCAAATTCTGCTTTGAGTTGCCAGGTTTGTGCATGTGCTTTTTTACATATGTGCTTGCCTCCTTCGATCTCGGTTACATGTGACTGTTTTTGATTCCTTTTTTCTTGTAGATCAGGGCAGTAATGAGCTCTGGAGTCGCTTTGAGTCAATGAGCAAAGTGGTGGTAAGCCTATATGCTGTGGAGGAGAGGATGAACACCACCTTTTTGACAGCTCCGGGAGCTGTAAAGAGCCTTTGCCGACTTCAAACGCGCTTTGAAGGCCTACCTGGCTATAGACAACTCTGCTCCAAGGCTTCTCTTACTGATGTAAACTCTGCTTGCTGTCCCATTTGGTCGTTGGCTAATTTCATCGCTTCTATAGTCAACAAAACTTCCTGTCATCAGGTAATATTGTAGTCCTAAAGGCAATTTTGGATATTTGCAGTATCCTCACATTTTCGTTTATTGAGTGCTTCTTAAAACATTCTAAAGGCCGCCTTAATAGCTCTGTATTTTTAGATCACAGAGGGGGATGTGAAGAGAGTGAAAAACCTCTACGAGACATGCAAGAAGCCGTTTCTATCGGGTGAATTAAAACGAGCCTGTTGGGACGCGACAGCGCCGTCACGTTGGCTGTGTCCAGATGTACCGCCACAGTGCTTCGCCCACCCGCACCTCTTGCTGCTTCTGGCAATCGCGGCGCCGCCCCCGTACCATCATCATTACCTTAACGGCGCTGGAGGATGGAATGTCACCCTCCTTGTGCTGCCTGTGTGGAAGCGAGTGGGCCTCAAACTCTGGCATCTTGCTTCCCTTGATCGACCGCAGACTCTCACTGATCTCACACGGAATCTCACTCCTCCCCTCACCATTGAAGTGCGTTTTTAGCTCTGCCTTTGCTTACACGTCATGAGTTATAAGATTGTAATGAGGTTTTGGCACTTTTGTTCATCCCACTCGCACGCTACCTGAAAAATCATAAAGCTCCTGTATACATTTTCACCCCAGCCCCACCCACGAGTAGGCAGTGATGCTGGAATGTATTTTGGGTGGGAGATCACATTGTCATGATGATTAAAATATGAATTTAACTTCCTCCTCTTTTACAACACGCCTCCACTTCGCCATCCACGTGAATAGGCAATAGAGCTGGGTTTGTACGGAGAGTTGGCGGGTCGGTACGTGGCGTGGGACAGCGTGTGGTTGGCGCTGGGTGCGGCCTGTCTGGCGTTGCTGCTGCTACTGCTGACGCATGGCAGTGTGGCGGTAGTAGGTGCCACCTTCCTCGCCCTTGGGTGGTCACTCATTCTCGCTTACGGTCTCTACGCTCGTTTTCTTCAGCTCCCTACATTCCCTCTCCTCAACATGATGGCCCTCGTTCTTCTCCTCGGTCTCGGCGCCGACGACATTCTCCTTTTCTATCAGGTAGACTAGCTGCTTCATCTTCTGGTTTTTGCACTAGTTAAACACGTTTTCCGTCACTGCTGCGTATATGTAACGCCCCGATTTTTTCGCCTTAGCCCAATCTTCGTACATATGCGGTGTATTTAATTAAATAAATTATTAAGGTTGATGGTACATTAGATCAACGAAATATTTGTGCTATGGTAGTTGCCTTTGCTCTGATCTCCTTGTTGTGAGTACTTTAAATAAACTTTGTTCTTAACATCACGTTGTCTGTATGGTCACTTACTCTCCTGTTTGGATCTTTTACTTTCATTTTGCTTGAGGAGTCTTTCTTTATTCCAACCCCTTTTGAACGTTTCCAATCTTTTCTGTCTTCAATTTTACTTGATTTTTTTAAGGAAAGTTTATTCTTCCTGAGACACCTCATTTACTCCCTCCTCACTGCTGATTCATTCACTAATAAATCATCCCTTTCTGAATGCATAAAATCCCCTTTATTTTTCTCTTCACTTCTCTCCCTATCATTTGCTGCTTTGGAAAATAATCAAATTTGCATTCTCACTTCTGCTTTCATTTGTCCGTCTTTATGTGAGTATTTAGAAGTTTGTTTTTTTGAGGACTTTTAGACTTCCTATTTTTTCACCACCTTTAATACGATGATTTGTCCTTCAAAATCCTTCGTTTTTACGCTATTATTTTTTTGCAGTGAATTGTCAGTTCCTTTTTTCTTTCATTTATCCGCTGATTCGTCTTACGAGTGGAAAGTGATTCAGACATATTTTTAGAATTTGTCATTTTGTCCTTTAAATAGTTTCTATTTCGCCTAGGCCAACCTAGATACGTTAAGATGCATGAAAATCGGCAGTAATTTCACTGTACACCTTTCAATTTAATCTTTTTTCTTGTTTCATTAATATTTTGGTACCTTTTGATTCAATCAGGAGTGTGGCTTTGCGTTGGCAGTGATTTCTGTTTTCTCATGCTGCGAAGGAGTTGTCCGTGCCATTAGCGTGGACATTTGACCTTTTCAAAGATAGGTTTGATGGGGCAACGCACATGTGATTTACCTATATCCTTTGCCCTCTTCTGGTACAACGGATCAACTGTCAGGATACTTTTATTCAGTTATTTAACTTTCATTTCTGATTTCTCGTGTACTAATAGGTCAATTGGTTTATTTGCTTGTCGTCCCCGTTATTGTTCTACTGAACATTCTCTACCTCTTTTTGAGTGTCGATTTGCACATTTTCAGCGTTTACTTTTCTCACTTAGCCGTCATAACAGTAGTCGATCAAAATGGACTAAACTGTGATGTACAATAGAAGATCACACGAAAACTTTCAAGCTCACCGATTGTGATGTGTCCTTGAAACTCTCGATAGAACTGCATTAGAAGCTTGCCATTGTTCCACGATCACTGCATGTCTTATGTTAATCGCCTTCCTTGGTAGCGTTCGCCCTAGTGTCATACTCTTGGAATTGTATACGTAACATCTTGTTTCGTGGATTTTAATAAGGTCACTCTAAGCCAACTAACGTATCCATCGGATTTGTGTAACTTAGGAAGATGCCAGATCTTCCGGTTTCGTTCAGTGTGCAATGTTCTCGTAGAAATATTGTAAGTAATCCTTTTTATGACTGGAAGTGCGTGTATTCAGACTGAAACAAGAATGCAATAATGCTTTATCGGTATATCGCCTCAGATTTGGGTCTCTATACATCCACGGAACGACTGCTGTGGAGACGTTGCTACTGACGAAGGCAGTGGGGATGAAAAGGCGGCGAGGTTGCGTTTGCGAGCGCAGCGAATGGCTGATACGCTGCGCCACGCAGTCCCCTCGGTCTGTCTGACCAGTCTGTCTACACTGGGAGGCCTACTGGTGAGCCTCAACTCAGCCATCGTTGCGGTCAAGCGCTTCTCCGTCTATGCCAGCCTCACCGTTCTCTGCCACGTCGTTTACGTCCTTGCAGTTATGCCCACTCTGCTCCTCCTCTTCGTCCCACCCCACCGCCGCCGCTGCTGCCACTTTCTCCGCCCCCTCCGTCTACCTCGCTTCTGCCTTGCCGACCTCCTTGTAATCAAGATGCGCTTCACCTTTCCCCTTCTCCTCCTCTCCGTTATCGTCACCTCGGCCTACCTCCTTTTCCACGCTGGATGGCTTACCTTTCCCTTCGGCCCTCTTCAGCCCGCATTCTACCGACCCGCTCACCCTGCTGAGGTCTATCGTCTTCGTGGAGGCGAATTCTCTTGGGCTGAGTATACCCTTCGTAGCCACCGTAGCCTTATCTCCCTCCATCTCGTTTGGGGTGTCCAACCTCATGATCCGCGCAATCACTGGACGTGGACGCCCTACGACAATGATGTGGTCGTTCCTCAACCCCTCTGGCGGGAGGATTTCAATCTTACTACGCCCGTGTCTCTCTCCTGGTTGTCCGCCTTTTGCTCAGAGATCACTAAAATGCCCCGCTCTTTCGCTCCACCCTCCATTCTGCCTCGTAGCAGCTTTTTAGAGGAGGACGCTCTTCTTCTATCACAAAACTATGGTTGTGTATTCGGCCGGAGTGTGTTTTCCTTCAGGGACTTTAACGAATCCACGCCGATGTGTTACCAAAACACAGCTTCCTGTTTGACCGCTTTCGCGGAAGCTTCATCAATCCCCACAGGAATGCGATTTTCCTTGGACACAGCGCGTATCGTCGGACTGGTGATTTCTGCTACTGTTAACTTCTCCCTCGCCAATACTACCTTCTCGGCGGTACAGGAATTCACTCAGCATGTGGAGACCTGGTTCTCCACCCTCCTTGCAACTGCACCGAATGGACTTTTGGGTGGGTTTCTCGCGAGTCCGGAGCTGACTGCGTTCGAGGCGTATCAGGACGTGCTCAAGTTTCTGCCCCTTTCGTTGGGTCTTTCTGTTGCACTGGCTGCTCTCCTCG